CTACCCACCTGTAAAGGGCTTCTATCCCAAGGTCAGATTGCATAGAACCCACTGTCCCAACATTCCTTCCGTGCAGCATGCCACAGCTCCTCAACATTAGACACGTGTCCGCAGGGCTATCATTGCTGGACCCGTATGCGCATCGTACCAGGCGGCTGCGCAACTCGATGCCTTCTTGAGGGAGGAGGTGTCAGAAGGGCACTTCGCGCGTCAGGCGGCTCCCTGCTTCAGCGGCTTAGGACGCACAAGCCTGAGCCTGAAGCCCAGTGTAGTCAACTGAGTTGCAAGTTGGAGTTGTGGCCACTTTTTGTCTGCATCCAAGCCCTGACAAACCCTAGACCTATCATAATCTAGTATAACATAGTATAGTATGGTATAGTATAGTACAGTACAGTATAGTATAGTATAGTATAGTATAGTATAGTACAATATAGTATCATATAGTATCTGTAGCCATTTCGGCTTAAGATTTCCGGCAGCTGAAATCCCGCCCGGCCATGGCGCCTGCCCCTGCGATGCGTGAAGATGCTCGGGATGCCCTTCTGGCTGATGGTTAGAGAGGGGAGGGGGGTCTGATGAATCATACATGGTTCCCCTTATAGTCCACACTGAAATCGATAGTAATATCCCCAGACATGATCCCAGGGATGGCTGATTTTTGAGCCAGGGAATGCAGAGGTTGGGTTTTGTACAGCATGGACCCCGCTCTGCTGCAAAATCCTACAGCCCCGAGCCCGCCAGAGAATCAAGTCTTAATGGAAGACTGGTTTTTTGGATATAGAATGCCCATTCTCGATGGCTTCATTGATGCATACCGATTTTTGCGATGCAGGTGTGGCTCCAACCTGCGGAGGAGGACCAAAACAGGCTAAGACCAAAGACTAAACTCAGGGTTTACAGGCCGCCTGACTGCCACTGAATTCAGAACTCACTCTCTACGTGCACGCGCACACAACCACACACACAAACAAACACAAACACACACACACACACGCGCGCGCTCTCGCTCTCGCTTTCTCGCTTTCTCGCTTTCTCGCTCTCGCTCTCGCTCTCGCTCTCGCTCTCGCTCTCGCTCTCGCTCTCGCTCTCTCTCTCTCTCTCTCTCTCTCTCCCTTTGTTTGTTTGTCTGTCTGCCTGCCCTGCCCTGCCCTGCCCTGCCTGCCCTGCCTGCCCTGCCTGGCTGGCTGGCCGGCTGGCTGTTTGTCTGTCTGTCTCTCTCTCTCTCTGTCGCTCGCTCGCTCGCTCGCTCTCTCACTCACGCGATTCTGCCACCACATGACCGTATATGATATGCATTGTCTTGACGGGCATGCATTGTTGAAAGGTACTGAAGAGCATACATGCATGCATGAGCGACTGTTTTCGGGACATGTGTACACATGTGCACAGGGAGGGTTTGCGTGTTTTCGGTGTCGAGAGTGGCGCCTGCTCCTGTTTGCAAATATGCATGCTTGCGCACGCATTCATGAAGGTGTGATTGCGTGCCTGCAATCTGTGTACAGGTGGACGGAAGATGGCTCATGGCTGATGTCATGGATGAGCGAATTCAAACGATGCTTTTGTTGACTGCTGCTTTCTTGCGAATGTCCACAGTATGATTGTGTTGCTGCTTTCTTGCGAATGTCCACAGTATGATTGTGTGCCGTAGGTATGTAAATTGGCATGTCTGCGAGTGTGTTTATGCACAGGAGTACCTCTAAACTGCGTCTGCCTCTTTGTTTATTCCTTTCAAGCTTGTTTCGTTTGGGCACGCTAGTGAGGTTTCGGGTTCGCAAGTAACTGTACACCTCGCATGGACTCACTAAGCCCTACGGTTGATGATATAAATCCTGCATTACCCATAATATTAAGGAATATACAATAATTACCATAGCTTATAAGTCCTCAAGGCAATGCAGTAAAAATATCATCAACAGTGTTCTGACTCGTGGCTCTAGGTAGGTTTTGTCAAACAGCGCGCCAATGCTTCATACTTCTGACCATGACAGCTTAGTTTTCCAATGCCCAACCTTTAATATGTTTGGTTCTTGTTTGTAATTTAGTAGCAATCTGAAAGTTCAACCTTTTATTTCCTTGGCTTCTTGGGGAAGTAAGACAGAGGCACTCCGAACGTGGTACAAGCCCTGTCCAAAAGAAGCGGCAAGCAGGAAGTCCAGCTTGTGATGGAGCGCCTCGGCGTGGACTCCGAAAAGGCCGGGCCTTTCCGGGCTCGAGTTTATCGAATCAAGGGTCATTCAAGCTGATGTCATCCTCCTAGCAAATTTCAGGTGACTTGGCGACCCAAAAGTGTGCATGCGTGGCTTTAGCAGTCCTGTGCTATCGGGACAACGGCCCCGGGCCACGGAGCTATTTATGCCCTAAACAGCCGAAACCCTAAACCCTAAGATCAGCAAAGCCTGGCTTGTCCGAGTTGTGAGAGCGTAAACCCTGCAATGCGGACTCGTCCTTGCTATGTCTGCTAAGTAGGAGGGAAGCAAGATGAGCGGGAAACCGCTTCCCGGATCATGCGAGACGGAAAGGGGACGTTCGGAAGCAAAAAACCTAAACCTCGAAACCCAGACCTGTTGCCTTAACCGCACTGCACAGGCACGCCGAGTCCTGTCGAAGGGTCTCCCACAAGGCCGGTCGTGTTTCTTCCATGCATGTGTAGAATAGAAAAAGTCTCTCAATGCAGAAACGTACAAATACATAGGTAACTTGTAGTGTTAGTAGTAACCAACGCAAACTATTTCACAAGAAGGACATGTTGTTTATGGTGCATAAACAGAATGCATATACACACATATGAGTAAGTAAGTAAGTAAGTACTAAGATTGTGTGCGTTGGGCCTAAGTTAAGTTATAGATGTTAGTAACCCCCTTATAACCCCCTTATAAC